AGGGTTTTCTCTCGCGTTACTGCTACTGCTCAGTATCACCTACAAAACGAAGGCGGCTTAGGGTTTCGTCTCTGGCCTATTATTATTATTATTATATATATATATAGTATAGTACATGTGGTCTTCGGTCTAAGGCGGTTCCCGGGTTTCCCATTATTATTATTATATTATTATATCTTTTTTTTCTTGGATTCCATTTCCTTTTATAATTAGTTTTTAAGTAAATAAAATTAATTTATTTTTTTAACAATAAAACTTTTTTTTAGACAAATAAGCCTTAATCGCTAAGAATAAAATATATCGGTTCTGTTTTTTCCTGTTTTAGCCTTTAGGCCATTTCTTTTTTATTTTAAATATTAAAATAATTATCAATAATTTGTTAATTTGAATGGAAAAAATCTGGTTGTAGTTTTTTAATATCAAAAAATTTGTAATAAAAAAAATATTGAAATAATTAATTATTAATAAAATGATTGATATTTATTATTAAATTTAATGTGCATTAATCTTGACTTTCACAAAAATTAAAATTCTAATATATACTTAAAAATAAAATTTTAATTTAAAATTTAAAAATTCAATTAATCTTTAAATTTAAATATTAATATTTAATAAGATAAATTTTTAATTTTTAAATTAAATTTTAATTAAATAAAATAACGTAATTTAAAATTAAAATTTTAATTTTTTTAAATTGAAATTAATATGTATTTTTTTATTATTTAATATTTTAAAATTAATTTATAAATTAATATTTTTAAACAATTTAATTAATTGTTTAAGAAAAAATTTATAAGTTGATAAAATTAACCAAACAAAACACGCTTATAATTTAAAATTAAAATTTTAAAATACACCTTTAACCTTACTTTATATTATACATCACATAACATTATTAAATGATGATATGTATAAATATTAAAATGTGTGTCCTCCTGAATAGGAAAAAAAAAAAAAAGTCATAGCATTTCCCTACTTCGATAAGAAAAAAAAAATCAATTTAGAAGTAAAACATGATGAAACTTTAAATATAAATAAAACTTGTATAAAACCATTGTTTAGGTTAAAATAGGAGCACATTACTAATTCTTATAAAAAAAATATAAAATTAATCTGTTTACACCTAAAATAAACCAATAGGGTAAGGCCACATGTCAAGGTAAAGCCCAATTATTAAGAAAATCAATGGGCTGGATTTGGGCTGGGCTGGCTTCCAATTTAACAGCCCAGACGAATTTCCAAGGAGGTTGGATCCTAGGTGGCAGAAGATAAGATGGAATCTGGTAGTTTGGGTTTGATTTAAAATGGAAATTGAGGATTTTTAGATAGTTATCTTTAAGGTTGTTGGAGATAAGGTTAAATAAAATTGGATAACTGTCAAAGTAACTGCCAGACCTGCAATCCCACTACCACATCATGGAGGAACAGTGCCGAAAATCGAGGAACAGTACCGGAGATCATGGAGGGAGGTTGACAGCACCGAAGCAAAGAAAAACCAGAAAGAGAGATCAGTTACAGGCCTGCCCAGCACACACACAGACTGCCCAGAGCA